TTTTTTTTAAATTTTTATCTTTGTTTATCACTATCTGAATATTAAATTGTCAATAAGTTAAACTAATTTTCCCCAAGTCAAGTCTGTTTTGCCCATGACAGTAACTGGTAAGCAATCTCCTGGTCTTCACCTCAACTCATGAGTTGCTTCATCTTATTTTCTCCCCCTGTCATGCTGAGAGGGACAGTGAAAGAGTGGCTGGGTGGGCAGTGGCGGCCGGCCAAGGTCAACCCACCATATATAGCACTGTGACAGTAATCAGTACCATTTTATTGAAATTATGTAATCAGTACATGGTTATTACAGTACATTTTACACCTCTGAGCCCTGTATTTGCCTCTCTGCTATGCTGCTTTTGTGTTCCATTGATCTCTATTTCAAAAAAGATTGCTGCAACATCTCTTGTCAATAGATTGTAACTAGCCCAATTAAAACATCTCTTAAGAACAGACCTCGAGTTTTGTTGTTATCTTCCTACAGTATTTTCAGAAGTTTGTCGACAAAAGAACCAGAAAAATATGGCAATCCATTGTTTCCAAAGCACAAGGAAGAAGTTTATTCTCTATTCAAAGATAGCTTTTACAGGGCTATGGTAAACAGCTTGCTATCCTACATTAATAATACAGATAGCACATAAATATGACACCTTTCAAACAGATTTTTTTCTAGGTTTCAAAAAGAAATATGCTTAGAGAGGAAAAAGATTAAAACATTATGGTTGTACCAGTTTTAATCTCTGCTGTGAAAGAAAGCTCTTTAAAGCAAAAATGCTCCAGTATATTCCATGGGTAACACTCTTCCAAACATACCGAGGTTTGCAAGCCACAAATCTGAAAGAAGCCTCAGCAAATTTGGGAATATAAAATCTGAGTTTCCAAAGAAAAGTATCATAAGAATGCAGGTGGATTATTGTTCACGTGAGTAAACTTTTTTTTAAAAAAAGTGATTTTTTTTTTTTTTTTTAAGAGATATCACAAACGTGATTCAGCTTTTCTTTGACCATTGTTGAACTTCATCTTTAACATCACTATCTTTTAGGGCTCTTACCTCCTTCCGCATGTTTCTCATCTTTGACACAGGTATCGTGTAAAGACCCATTTGGATCACAAGAACACGGCTGGCATGGATATGGGCTATCTGGCAATACCTACAAAAACAAAGACATTATAAAAAAACCCCACCCTTAATAATCAGAAACTTTTATTTACTTCTTAAACAAAAAGTAGGAGAGAATGACTTCTGTGTAGGTAGCTTGCACTTTAAGAAAAATGAGATGGTTGCCAAACTTAGCCCATGCAGTCTAGGATGAGAGGAAATGACCTCAAGTTGTGTCAGGAGAGGTTTAGATTGGATATTAGGAAAAAATTTCTTCACCGAAAGGGTTGTCAAGCATTGGAACAGGCTGCCCAGGGAAGTGGCTGATTCACTGTCCCTGGAGGTATTTAAAAGACACGTAGATGTGGTGCTTAGGGAAATGATTTAGTGGTGGGCTTTGGTAGTGTTAGGTTAACAGTTGGACTCGATGATCTCAAAGGTCCTTTTCAACCTAAATGATTCTATGATTCTATTAAAGTTACATTTTGGATTTTTCTTTAGAAACATGTGATTTAGATACAAACATGTTTTCAACTAAAAAAACAGGTTTACAGATAATAACAGAGCCTCATATAATTAAAATCAATAAACATAATGAAGTAGATTTTAAGCATTCACTACGTAAAGTAATATTGACAAATAGTTCAGTTGTTCTGGTCAACATGATTCAAAAAACTAACTAAAGTTAGTTTGTCAGTAACTGAACAAAAAGGGTAAGTAAGTGAAGAAAAGTGAATATTAGACAATGGAGCAATTTCCTTTTGTTCTTGAAAAGGTTACCTCAACCAAACTTAAACCTTGGTCTAATATCACACTAGGAATATAAACTAGAAGTTCTACATGAACTAGGCATATACACATAGTATAGATACACTATACACACACAGATACAGAAAATCCCTATTAGTCGGGTGATAACCTGATTCAGAGGAAAAAATCAAGTGCCTTGCTGTTGAAGAGATCAGTATTCCTCTTCTCAAGCTCTGAAGCTAAAACCAGTATATCAGGGAGAATGTAACTATTGTTATTTGCTGACATTTTCTGTGTTTGAGGATTGAACACTAATCAAACTAAAGGCCATGATTTACCCAACTGAAACTATGCAGACAAAATACACTACTAATAGCGTAGCTATTTAAAGCACAGGCATAGCCCACATTGGCAACGCAACCTAATACAAGATTCATCTTCTGACAGCTTCAACTTAGATGAAAATACAGCCTTATATGATGAAACACAAAAAACAATTCCCGCTGCACTGAAAATGAAAGGCATTCAAGAGATACTAAAGAATTTCAGTGGTTATTAATTCTACATTACATTTAAAAAATAAAAATTACAGACTCTCTTCCTCCAATATCAAATATAGCAATATTCCTTTGATCTTTGATAGCAAACCTTGAAATTCATTACTGAGGCAAAAGTACTGTTTACAGGACCACATCCTCCTTCAAATTAAATTGAAATACTAGCTGGAGGCCCTGACCTCGAGCACATTCCTTCATATCAACACAATTCACTTTCCTATTTCTGTGAGCATTAACTTTATAGATTTCCAGCTGTGAAAAGCAACTGCTACACCGTCAGAATTAGAAGTTAACCTCCATACAATGGCAGGCCAAAGTGTGTCATCTCTTTTTAATAACTTAACTCCCCATGCTGAAGTGATGGTTTGAACACCGAGCTTTACAGTGAAGTGACAACACAACACACGTTTACCCCTTTAGGTCTGAAGTAACCGTCAACGCAGGTCTCGCAGTTTATGCCGCTGGTGTAGCTTGTGCAATTCACACATACTCCACCCCCAATGTATTCTCCATGGACATTCAAACTCTGATTTCTGTCTGCAACATCCTGATCATAGTAACACTCCTCAGTCTTCCCATGACAGTTGCATGCTGAAAGAGAAGGAACCATGTTAGTAAATAACTTTTCAGCTGGAGATGCCACGCTGTTACTAAGGTATGAAAAAGAGTCGTTCAACATTTTATCATTGGTGCCATGGACATTGTAACTGACAGCACATCCAGCACATCCAAGCACTAATTTACTACTTCAGCTGTGAAAAGTAACCTGGTCCCATCACAAACAGCCTGGAATTCAGTATATTTTTTTCTCAATGTTTTGTCTGGGGGAGTATGGAAGTTGACAGATATAGCCTAATTACGTTATTCCTGTTTTGCTTTAGGCTTGTTTTTCCTGTTTAAATTGATAGTCCAGAAATCTTTTGGTGGTTGCACACACACATGGTTCATGAAATATGTTGGCCAATTTAAAATACAAGAGGAATTATAAGGAAAGCAGCAGAATGGTATGAGTAAATTAAAATAATTTCCATGCAAGCTGAAAGACATCCTAAAAACACTTGATTTGCACATATGCATATAAGAACTGGGTCAGAACAAAGGGATTCCCAATCTTAAAACTTATTTAGAAGTTCAGATTTTAACTCTTAGGCTTCAGGTCCACATGCAGCAGAGCTGTTGATGTGAATGCAATAATCTGTTGCTGTGAAAATGAGGTAGCGCTCTCTGACTCTTCCCCTGTGGTATTAAAACATTCATTTCCACACAAAGAAATTCAAAGCTCGTCAACATTGTAGGGAGTCATTCTCCTCATATCTGAAACAGATCCCAGGGAACTGTTTCCACCATGAAAGTACAACAATTCCCTGAGGGTGAATTCACAGAGGATAAGAAGTGTCTCTCAAAAATTAAGCATGAAAATAAATGTACCCTGATTTCATTTGCGAATGCATTCCCAGTGCAGACACAGTCCCTACTGAAACAAAGAAGACCTCTGTGACCAAAGTTTACAGGACACAAATAAGCAATTACTACTTTTAATATGGGGATATCCGTTTCTTTGTATTTATTTTTAACCACTCATGGTAAAACTATAGCTGCAATCTTACAATTGAATAAATACTTAGATGTAACGGAGCACTAGATTTTCGTATGTTCAGAAATATAAGTGGTATGTGACCTTTGGAAGGAAGATGTTAAATTTCAATTATAACTATCCTTACTACAGTAAATCTGAAAATTAATTCTCACCCTGTGGGAAGGTGGTATTTCAAGGTATGTTTTCATTCCACGTTGGAAAACTAGATACATTGTTTGTTCCATTAAAAAAAATCAGAAACTCAAATTGCATTTTGATCATGTAAAAATATTTTGTTTCAGCAAGGTTGAACCTTATAATACACAAAAGTGCCACTTCTACAAAAATCATGCCATTAAAGTTTAATATAATGAAAAATCTGTTGAAAAGATTTTTCACTTATCAGGATACAGCTGTTATTTTATCAAAACAAAACCACCATAATTATAAAAATTACACAAGTCAAAATCATTTTTATACAATATTCCACCAATATCAGCACATTACAATAAAATATTCTGAGTTCAATAAAACTACGATTCTACATGCAATTTTTCTGTTAACTCTTTTGAGCCAGTCTAAATAAGTGAATAACAACTGATTCACAAACAAACGTGGTTAGAAATTAAATTAATTGTAAAATCATGTAGGATTCGATTTCAGTTTTCACCAGCAGTTGCAATAAACTTTCTCTTCTCTACTGCTTTCAACTTACGTTCACATTCATGCTTAACAAGGAAAGTGCCAGCATGCCAAGGCTTTTGATTGAAACCAGGACAACACCGATCACATGTCTCTCCACATGTGTTGTGCTCACACTGACAGATGGATTTCTAATTTAAAAGAAAAACAAATATTTACACAATGTGATGATTTGAAGAATCTGTCCATGTACATAATCTGCATTCCAGTACAAATTATGAAAACATTAAGAATGGCTATACTCTGTAATTCCTCTGTTTATTCATGTATGTATCCTGCATTCACCAGGTGAGAGACAAAAGAGTGTGTTTAATTTCCATAGCCGTATTTTAAGAAAACAGCCATGATGCAAAGGAAGATAACTGGCCAGAGAATCTAAGGAGAATCTAAGAATGTAGAAAAATCTAATTTAACTGGCTGAAGAAAGGTGGATGGGAGAATGAAAGCTCCCCAATACAGAAAATAAGCCAAAGTGCCGGTAGCCCTCAGATACAGCTTCACATTACAGGAAAACTGATCTGATCACTAGCTTACACTAGAAGGAGTGAGCCATTCTCCGCCCTTACCTTAGACACAGCAATCCTGCAGCTGCAGGGTGAAATCAGTTCTGTTGGCTGATCCAATAAAAATTGGCATTTCTTTTAACTTTAGCATTATTTTTTTACTGGATGAGTCAACTCACCATGCAATCTTCTAACTGCATAATTAATTCTATGTGAGGGACAGTAGGAGTTTTTAAACTAATAAAGAGATGAGAGCAGGACTAGCCTTTCAGTCACTCTTCAGTTCCTCAGCAGACCACCTTAGTCCCAGCTTAGCTCCAGCATAAAAATATGGCTGTAGGGAACACCCCAAAACTCTCTGAGCAACAGCAGCAGCTTGGAAAAGATAAAAGAAGCTGCAGTTTGGAGGAGCAAATGAGGAGCAAATTTGGCTTCTCAATAGTTCCTCAGTGGAGGGGATTCTCTGTAGCCCTTGTGAAGCCACTCAAGGTCAAAGTGGTAAGCTAACCTGGAGAAATTCTACGGATCACAGGACAAAGCATAAATCTTGCAAAACAAGGTTAACTTAAGGAATGCTTCAGAAAAGCAAGGCGGTAAATTCAAGCAAGTTAATTCTTTGTAACGCTAGGGGAAAGATTCATTGTGCTAACAACTACAGTGATGATGTTTATAAGCCAAAGCCCACCTATTTTGGTAGGGCTCAGTCTAAAGAGTATCCCTGGAGAGCTAAACCAAATACTCCAAATCTCTTACGGCTTGAGTTGTTTCACTTATGCTATTTTTTATACTGGTCAGACAACAAATACATATTTGTCATCCTGCAAAACAAGACACCATGCTTGTAAAAATGCCTCTGTTTTATTTAGTAGCCAAGCTATCTGAACTGAAGTACGTATTAATCGCAGTAACAGCACTTATTTTCTGAGGTAGGCCCAATTCTAACAGATGTCACTGAGACAATGCTGCAGTTTGATAGATCATCTGAAACAATAGTTCAACACTTGCTACACACATCATCACAGAAAAGGCTCAGAAGGATTAAATCAAGGAGTCTGTAAAATTTTTACAAAGATCCATGGAAACTGCTTAGAACTGTAAACGCATTCTCTGTAAGACTTCTTCCAGCTTGGGGTTTTTTTATCAGTTCCTACACAATGGCTTAATGTCATGTACAAACAAGATTTTCTGTTAAATCCTACAAAGCTCCTACTTAAGTGAATAGTATATGAAGAGATCCCACATTGTGGCGTATTAGTAATACTAGTAGACTGGAAATCCTGTATTAGTGATAATGTGTGCATAGATTTGGACCATCAGTTACAAATTATATTTCTATATTTCAATTATATTGGTTATGTGTTTATTCATGATGCAAAAAAGAAAGCTACAAGTTAGAAGACATTATAAACAGCTCATGATTTTTGAGACTAGCTTAACTGATCACTCAATTCATATTTCCTGCATAGTAAATGCACCATTCTAGAGCCATCATTTGTTTGCAAGTGTCGATTAAATACTTGGCAGCCATTTAGGAAACACCTTGATTAATACCAACAAGGAAAAGAAAGGCTGACTGTCAGTGCTCATCTCTACAGCTACATAACGTAACCTGAATTTCTGTTGTTCCTAGGAAACTTTCAATGTGTACTGAATTATCTGAAACCTATTCTTTCATTTCAATGAAAGCCTCCGCTGACATTGTATGAATGTTTATTATTCTGGTTGCCAGTACTGTTTCACCCTGCCACTGCCGCCTGTTCTTCTAGGTGAAGAACAGACATAAATTCACAGAACTCTGAGGCATATCAAGATTTTTTTCTCACGTTCCACCCTATGAATAAGGCACATTAAAATAAAAAAAGAAAAAGAGAAAGAAAAATACATACATTGGTCGCTGGATCGAGTGGACAAGCCTTTGCATGGCCTGAACATATACACATGCCTCCAACAGAGATATCTTTTATAGAATAGTAATACTGTAAGACAAAACAGAAATTGAATTGCTAAGTGGATTGTAAAATGCAGGTGCCAAACTGCAGAATTCATTTCTGGTGACAAAACTGTCAGGTCCTGTTTTATTTCTTTTTTGATCTATTACAAATATAGCAGACAGTGTAATCTAAGCTGCGTCTTGATCAACAGACTCAGGCTTAGTGAAAGAAAGGGTATAAATTGGCACAGTACCATTTGTTTGAAGTCACAAGAGCCATGTCAATTTATACACAGCACATGCCAAACACGAGAACAGGAAAAGGCAATATGCACACTGGATAATGAAAAGTCAAATCCTATAGAATTTATTTCCTTCAGAAAACATGAAAAGGAAAAGGTATGATGATGGGGAAAAGAGAAAGGTTAGAACAAAAACTAAGAAGGAAACACCTTTGTTCACCTTAGCTGGGCCTTACTTGGGCATTCGCTGGACTGTGGAAAGAACTCTTTTTCACTCTTGGCCTTTTGAATGACTACGGAATAGCCTTCATTACTGAGATTTAAATAACTTTTGACCTGTTGCTGTGCCACTTGACCATTTCTATTTTTTCTTTGGTGGGGAATAATAGCCCTAACCAGAAAGAAGAATGGAAAGATATTTATAATCATGTATTATGACATCTGTGAAAAGTGAGTATCACATGCCATCTTGTCCATTTTCATCTGTTTTGCCGAGGGTCCTGTAACATCCTAACAACTGGCTAATCAAAACAAACACATGCTATTTGCAAATTTTGCTGTTTCTGTGTTTAACCACTTTTTCAGATCATTAATACATACATCAAGCAAAACAGGAATTCATACAACTCATAGTTAACCTTCTACCACACAGAAAATTTATAATTTGTGGATACTCTTTGCTTCCTGTTTTGTGGAATAGTGGCTTGTCTAATGTCTTCTATAGGGAAAGCCAGACAAGGATGGCAAGTTTCAGTTGCTCCTTGTTCCTTTGAGGACAGCCTCATGGAGAGATACCATACAGAAGTTACTGTTCTTTGTTGGTTTGAGAAATCTGTGGATCGTCCTGCACTAGGTTTTCATGAGTATATGGTGATTTTTAAAGTGTGAATTCAATTTTGTGTTTCTGTTCACTTAGAATCAATTATTAAATGTGCATTCTTACATAAACACAGTTTCCATGATTAGTGAGACTGCAATAACTGCACTCCACTGGAAGCATTTCTGGGTTTGTAATACAAAACAGAACGGCACATTCCAAACTTTCAGAAATAGCCAGCACTCTATGTATTTAGAGGAAGAAATGGAAACTAGAAATAGGGAACAGGAGCAGCAGATTTTCTTTGCAGTTATCCATCATTGATAAATGATATTAACTAAAGCCAAGAATAACAATACTCCCTCTTCATAACAGGACTTACTATAGTGGTACTCCAAGCTTTCCAAAAGAAAAATAAGATGACCAACAGCAAGTGAGCAAAAAGAAAACAACGTGGAAAGGTATACATCCCCCAAAGCAGCTTTTAAGAATGTTTAGTAGAAAAACCAGAGGAAAAATAGAATAACACACAACATTTGGGCAGCAGGAGAAGAGGGAGATGTGTCACAGGAAGTACAGATCGCAGAAAGAAGAAACAGGCGTGCGCACACACAAGGAAGAGTGGAGAAGACCAGGGTATGGTGTGAGTTTGGGTCCTGCATCCATTCTTTTAAGCTAAAGCACAATGTAAAACTTTTGCTGTTAGCAACAATCATATAATAATGCTAAAAGTGTTGCATTCAGACCCTATTACTATTTATAGCACCACTAGTAGAAATTCTACTCAAAGTAAGTTTTGAAGGAATGTTAAAGGTATCAAAGGATTGAGCAGCAGAAGAGGCAAGAGGACATTATCCAACAGCAACCACTTGCCAATTACCTGCATCTGAATGTTTACAGCTCAAGGAGCTTTGTGCTTATGTTAACAAGCATGTTATGTATGTTAATAACATCATTAAGCAGAAAAGATAAAATTGTTACTTCTGCTATAGAGAAGATTACAAAATACTGTGAAGAGGGAATTCTCTAACACCAGGTTTTTGACAGATAACAACAGGCATTCATCATCTCCTAAAATTTCCTATGGCAAACAAAAGCAGGTACATCATTTACAGGTGTAAGAGAACTTCTACACATGCATTTCTACTGTCTTGCCAGAACTCACCCTCCTTGTAACAATGGGATCAATTTCATTTGGATCTTTGTGTGCGAACATCATTAAATCAGCATTTAGTGTCCGTATCCGCTGAAATCTCAGGCGAATAAAGCGAGCAGAGGTGAATTCTAGTAATACGCGTGAAGGATCATCAGCGCTAGGCCGTCCATTAATTAGAGAAGTGTGAATCTGAAGAGAGAATTATTAAAGCAATAAGGAATTAGATGACAGCAATGCTCCCGTGATTATACCAACAAATATCATTACAGGCACTGTGTGAATGCCTTTGTAAATGTAAAATACCTTCTTTCTTTAGAAAGCAGATTTCCCCCAAAATATTCCATGTACCCACAGACCCCAGTTATGGAGAGACTTTGTAGTAAAAAAATTTTGAGCAAATGAACATCATCAGCTACAAAAAGACTGTAGCACAAACTGCATATGAGTACCAAGGCCCTACAACAGCGTCCATGCTGCAGGCAACTCATTTCTCCTCCTCTAGTCTAAAATAGGTATTTTCAAGTTATCAAACAACCAAAGGGCTTAAAAAAATTGAGTTAAAGGAATGGATACTTGGAATGGGACTCAGAATTCAACAGGGGTCAGTTTGCACCTCTTAGAGCAGTCATCATCAAAAGACTTTTGAAGTAGTTGTTTTCTAAAGCCAGGATAAGGTAGCTTTTGAAATACTGAAAACTGCAACAGCTAGATGAGACAAAATAAGCATTCATAAGCATCTCCCCTTTCCCACTGTCTCTTTACACAATACATCATTTCCTTTGAATCTTGTTCTCAGCAAGTTGAAACAATTTCCTGGTTGCAACTGTTTTCACCTGGTCCCTAAGGAAAGTCTTTATCACTTTGGAGAACTCTGTTCAGCATTTGTTTTTCCAAAGACGCTACCGATCTCTGCTTACACTATGGTTTCTGTAAAAATTGCCCCCCTTTTTCTGTCTGCCCTATCTTACAGTCTAGAAATCTTCTAGATAAGCATGCTCTGTGGCTCCTTCATAAAGAGACTCTCTGACCCCAATTGCAGCATCAAGGGCAATGCAACAAAAATAAGCGATCTTCTTCCTCTCCTGTCTTTTTAGCTGATCATGGCATACATTAGCTGTGAATCAACAAAATAAAACAGATGAGCTGCTACAGAATTGTTCTTGGAAAAGGCCTACAAGAAGAAGAATGTCAGCTATAGCAAAATATTGTTAATATTGAGCACCGAGGGGAGGGAGGAAAGAAATCACTAATTTTCCTGAATTCTGAAGTGTTAAATTTTAATTGGGGCATTTTTATTACAGGCTTGTACACTGCAAGAATGTTCAGATGCTGAGCCAAACGTGTGGAACATTAGAACAAATGAGAGAACTATTTATTCTTTGCAATGAACATGTGCATCTTATCCCAGTGGTCTGAGTGAGAGGTCGGGCCACACAGCCATTTTCTATCATTGACCATGATCATATTACCACTGTTTCAGGCAAACAGCTGCACTCAGAACTCCAGCTGGCACTGACTCAGCAGTGGCTGCCTCACATACCGAGGAAAGAGACAGCAAATCCACTGCTCCCAGCAAAGCAGTAGCTCTTGCTTTCCTGGAGTTTTTGCAGGTGCTGGATAGAAGGCTTATTGAACAACTGCTGTCTTGCCCTGGCTCTGTGATACTATTAACTTAATTATTTTCACTACCAACAGGGAAACCCTAAACCTCACCACATCCAGCATCCTGCTCCACTGTATCCACAGGTACACAAAATCACTGGGATCCACTCTGCCAGGAGCAACTATCAGTCACATCTTGCCCAAGTATGAATCACCACCTCTAGGCTTCTGCCATGTTATCTCCAGGAACAGGTATTATTGCTACCTCCTCCTGAGATCATAACAACACTCTCACTTTGAGCTCTGACTCAATTTTGCTCCTGACTACAGGTAATTAAATTAAAGGGCACAGTTGGCTGGAAAAGAACAGAATAAAATGCTACGAAAAGATAGGGTACAAACAAACGATAATAAAAACCCTAGAGGAAGCAAGGAGGAGCTCCTGAATGAGAAACGTCTGGCTACCAGCAGGACAAAACCACATGACTAGAGAGAGCAAACTGCTCAAGTCCCAAGTGAAAAGAGAAAGAGGGGAACATGTGTGGAGCGTAAACTTCAAAAGAAGCCTGGAGATGGTAGCAATAGGGCAAGTGGAAATTGATAGATCTTTCCAAAAGAAGCAAGATTTTAGTAAGAACACATGTCTAAAGACTTTTTTTTGCATAATATTTACCTGTAAGCAAGGAAATACATTTCTTTTGAGTGCTTTTTAAAACCATCACCTCCTTCCTTTAAACAGGATCCAAGAGATTTCTTTCTTACAGGAATCAAACAGAGATGGGTTATGGTTTAAAGCAGAATACTAAAGGCTGAACTTTGATATTCCAGAGATAAAGAAGAAATATATCTAAAGTAGTGCTGAAAACATCCCCTAGCTCAGCAACAGCACCATGGCTATAAGCAGCATGGCAGTCTCTCTCATCAAAAATACAAAAAATTAAGCTGTCAGAGGAGAAAGATGGAGGTAAAAGCCGATGTATCAGAGTAAGCATGTGCCCACAGAGAGTTAAAAGTGTGAATCACAGACACAGTTTGACCCCCGATGACACTGCTGACAAATAGCAGTCCTATCTTTGGATTCATGTTTTTTAAAAAGAACAAATTTAGTCTTAAGACAACAGTGGGAAAAAAACCCACCACCTTGGAGTGGTAGTTTTACAGAATTAAAACGTAAATTAACAAAATAAAACAAGAGGCATCAGAATAGACTGCCTTTTTAAAAGGTTTCATGGATCTATCTGCCAGCAGCACATCTATTTGGCAAGGCTAACCTAGTAGAGACAACAACTTCCATTTATACTGTCTTTCATGCTTGTGTTTAAATGTTTCACAATTTCATTTTTGAAACAACAAACAAATAATTTCTTATAACTACTGAAATGTAGCTATGTCCTATGTGAAACATGGCACCTGTTCAAACATGTACACAAAAATGACACTGAGATTAGAAAATTAAAACGGAATAGTTTTATCAAAATGAATCTGAAGGGAAAATTTTACACAGGCAAAATTAATTGCTCAAAATTATTTCTCCTCCTCTCAACATCTGTGATGAAATCACTACTTTCTCCCTAGAAACATTTAGAATCAACTTGAAGAGTGTCCAACTAAGTTGTTCCTACTCCTTGAAAAGCGAATAGGGAAGAAACTAAGAGTACTTTGGGAACATCTGTCATTAATCAGGAATAAAGAGTAAGAATTTTAAATAACTTTTCTTAAAGAAGTTTAAGTAGAAATCAGACTTACAATATTTTCAGTATGACTCTCACAATGAGACATCACCGTGTTTTTCCAGAGCACACTCTCTCTTTTCATCTCCCTCCACAATCTTGCCCCTATTTGTAAGACACTGTTTGCATGACAGTACATTTTCAGTCAAGACATTAACATGGCCCCTACCCTCCAAATATTTTTGAATCAGATCTGGAAACTGTTCCAGTGAACACAGTCCTCAATATCCATCTACCATTTTGCCATCTAAGATCATCATAGTACTTCATATATAGCTCTCAGTCCTGCAAAGACTAGCCCCATTTTCACACAGGCAACTAAGGCACGGATGTCCTGCTCTAGCTGTACACGTACTGCAGTATGACCCACACCAGAGTTCTACAGCAGAGCTAAGATCCAAAGCTGAGTCTACCAGGAAAATATTAATACATTAATCCACCCATTGGGCTGCTACAATTTGGATAATGCAAGTCCCTATGACGGAACAATCTCAAATTTTGCTCAGGTTTTAATTTAAAATTTTTCCTTAGCAAGGAATTCTTCCAGGATCATATTCCAACAAAGATGATCTTTGGGGAAAATGAGCATTCCCTTACAAAACATCTAAATCTTACCACAATAAAAGCCAAACTGTCATTTTCTAAAACCATTTTGAATGGTATCTGATTTGTCAACCAGTTCAACAGTCAGAACTATTCAAGAAAAAGGGTATGATAACCTTTTCCAGTAGCTGCATTAGCAACACCATGTTCAAAAAGATTACATCACAGAATCATAGAATGGTTGAGGTTGGAAGGGACCTCCAGAGGTCAGGTCATCTGATCCAACCCCCCTGCTCAAGCAGGGTCACCTAGAGCCAGTTACCCAGCACCATTTCCAGACGGCTTTTGAATATCACCAAGGATGGAGGCTCCATAATCTCCCTGGGTTCATGAGGTTCCTGTCAGCCCATTTCTCCAGCCTGTTCAGGTCCCTCCGGATGGCAGCATGACCCACTGGTGTTATCAGCCACTCCTCCCAGTTTGGGGTCATCAGCAAGCTTCCTGAGGGTACTCTCTGCCCCATCATCCAAACCATGAATGAAGATGTTAAACAGGATTGGACCCAGTAGTATACATTCAAGTTAGTTCAGTTACCAAGTTACCTATCTTCTGCATTTGGTTTGAAACCAAAACTTCTAACAGTTACTGAAAGAATGCATACCCTAGTTAAACGGAAAAACAGAAAAGCCATTTTGTAACACCAAAGTTCCACCAAATTCAATGTCCTGTCTCCAACACAGGCCAGCAGAAAACAATCAGGAAGAAACATAAAACCCAGGGCATTCAGAGAGTGATCCGTCTGATGCAGTATCATCGCTTCCCCTGACTGAACAGTCGAAATGTTTCCTGAGCTACAGAGTGAATCTGCATCATAGTGTTTAGTGTCTACCAATTGCCCCTTCTCTATATTAGTCTACTCCCTTTTTCCACCATTATGTTTTTCATCACTACAGACACTTGTCCGAATGGGAGGCACTTTGTTTCTTTTAAAAAAAATGAAAAAAAATAGCTGGGTCTGGTGGTTTTTTGGCTTTTGTTTTTGTTTGGTTTTTTTTTAACCTGGAGCTCAGATCACAAATTATTTCAGTGACAGTGTTCTAGTTTTTCATTTGAGGAAATTGTGAGTAGTCAACATCATTTCATTTTTGAACTTCAGTATGATGTTAAATCAAGTTTTTTTTTCAGAGAGTTCTTGAAAATGCTACAAGTTCTCTACTCTGAAGAGAATTGAGTCCAACACTAGCCCATCAGCATTCATGCATAATTTTTTTTTCTTACATGTATTACTTTGCTTTTAGCAACACTAATTTTCAT